ACTGCATGAGGTGAAGGATGTTTGTTATTGTTGTCTTTACTGGTATCGCACTACACACACACACACACACACACACGCGGTGCCAATCCCGTCCCTTCTCCGCTTCCCAGAGACGCCATCGTGATCGCCACTGCCAACTGCGCCACCTCCGTGTTCGCCGGCTTCGGTCATCTTCAGCATCCTGGGCTTCCTGGCGACGGAGCTCGGCGTGCAAGTGAAGGACGTGGCCTCCTCCGGCTCCGCCCTCGCCTTCATCGCCTACCCGGCTGCCGTGGCGCGCATGCCGGTATCGCCGCTGTGGTCCATCCTGTTCTTCGTCATGTTGGTCACGCTCGACTCGACGCCAGGTGCGAGGGAGGGGGAGGGGGCGTTGTGGGGAATGCTAGTAGGGGGAGGGGGAGAGGAGGTTGGGGCGATATGGGTGAGGGGAAGGTGGGGGGCAGGGGCAGGGTAGGGATGTGGGTAGGGTGGGAGGGGGTGTAGCCCGTGAGATTAATATACAGAAATGAAGATCCAAATATCTCAATATTAATAAGTCCATATGAATTTATTCTCCTTTTTTCAAAGCTTAATCTGCCAACAAACAACACCTCTATTTCTCCTCTGCAGTTCACGATGGTTGAGACGGTGACCACGGCTATATTTGACCAGTTCGAGACCCTTCGAAGCAAGAAGCTCTTTGTCGTCGGAGGAACCTGCTTCCTGCTGTTCCTAATGGGCCTCACGATGTGTCTCGAAGGAGGCGTGTACATGTTCGAGCTCTTTTTCTTCTTCTCCTCTCCTCTCCCATCCCCCTCTATCTCTCTTTCCCCTCTCCCCCTTCTCCTCCCCCATCCCCCTCTATCTCTCTTTCCCCTCTCCCCCCTCTCCTCCCCATCCCCCTCTATCTCTCTTTCCCCTCTCCCCCTTCTCCTCCCCCATCCCCCTCTATCTCTCTTTCCCCTCTCCCTCCCTCTCTTCACCCTCTATCTCTCTTTCCCCTCTCCCCCTTTCTCCTACTCCATCCTCCCTCTATCTCTCTTCTCCCTCTCCCTCCTTCTCCTCCCCATCCCCTCTATCTCTCTCTCCCCTCTCCCTCCCTCTCCTCTCCCCATCCCCCTCTATCTCTCTTTCCCCTCTCCCCCTTCTCCTCCCCCATCCCGCTCTATCTCTCTTTCCCTCTCCCTCCCTCTCCTCCCCCATCCCCCTCTATCTCTCTTTCCCCTCTCCCCCCAGGCCTGACCCTCGAGGGCGCAAGTCTGGGGATCGAGTTCTACTTCCTGCAGCCGAACATGTCTCGCCTGGCGGAGGTGGAGGTGTGGAGCGACGCCGCCACGCAGATCTTCTACTCGCTCGGGTCGTCCTTCGGAGGCCTCATCACCCTCGCCTCCTACAACAAGTTCAGGAATAACTGCATGAGGTGGAGGATGTTTGTTATTGTTGTCTTTACTGGTATCGCATACACACACACACACACACACACGCGGTGCCAATCCCGTCCCTTCTCCGCTTCCCAGAGACGCCATCGTGATCGCCACTGCCAACTGCGCCACCTCCGTGTTCGCCGGCTTCGTCATCTTCAGCATCCTGGGCTTCCTGGCAACGGAGCTCGGCGTGCAAGTGAAGGACGTGGCCTCCTCCGGCTCCGCCCTCGCCTTCATCGCCTACCCGGCTGCCGTGGCGCGCATGCCGGTATCGCCGCTGTGGTCCATCCTGTTCTTCGTCATGTTGGTCACGCTCGGACTCGACTCCCAGGTGCGGGGGAGGGGGAGGGGGCGTTGTGGGGAATGCTAGTAGGGGGAGGGGGAGAGGAGGTTGGGGCGATATGGGTGAGGGGAAGGGGGGGGGGCAGGGGCAGGGTAGGGATATGGGTAGGGTGGGAAGGGGTGTAGCCCATGAGATTAATATACAGAAATTAAGATCCAAATATCTCAATATTAATAAGTCCATATGAATTTATTCTCCTTTTTTCAAAGCTTAATCTGCCAACAAACAACACCTCTATTTCTCCTCTGCAGTTCACGATGGTTGAGACGGTGACCACGGCTATATTTGACCAGTTCGAGACCCTTCCGAAGCAAGAAGCTCTTTGTCGTCGGAGGAACCTGCTTCCTGCTGTTCCTAATGGGCCTCACGATGTGTCTCGAAGGAGGCGTGTACATGTTCGAGCTCTTTTTCTTCTTCTCCTCCGGCACCTCCGTCATCATGTTGGCCTTCTTCGAGGTCGTGGCCATCCAGTATGTGTATGGTGAGTGCGGGAGGCTATGTGGAAGAGACGGGTGGAGGGGGAGAGAGCGAGGGTGGGGAAAAGAGGGGGATGGGGAGGAAAGGGAGGAGAGGGGGGAGGGAAACAGAAAGAAGGAAGAGAGAGAGAGAAAGAGAGAGAGAGAGAGAGAGAGAGAGAGAGAGAGAGTTGGGATGGATTAATAAATGAACGGATGGATGGAAGGCTGGGATAAACAGAGATAAAAAGAGAAAGAGAAAGCAAGCGAGAAGAGAGGGGTTTAGCAAAGGAGAGAGA